AGAGAGGCAATGCCCCGCAAGCTTGGCTTGAGCCAAATGTACAGGGCAGAAGAAATAGCCATCCCAAAGGTTCAGAGGTGTTCCAATTACTACATGACCCCGCAGCTAATTACTCAGGAGTCCGTTGGCAGAAGTGGTTTGCGGAATAGCCTCTGAGGAAGGCGGACCTTGATATCCAAAAAAGCCCTTGCAAGTGACGAAGCAAGACCCGGGCAAATGGGGATGTCCCACAGTGGGGGGAGCCAAAAGGATGCCTTTTTGCCATTTCGAGTTACCCGTAAAAAATCAGAACCCAAAGGACACTGTTTGGGAAATCATAGTCTTGACACATACCCAAATAGTTCTCGAAAACGGTTTGGATGTGATCCACCCCTGTAGGATATTGAAAGAGTATTAAAAGAGTGCCAAAAAAAGACCCTACAGGGGGAACAACCGGTGAAATCCACAAAAAGCGCATCCAAGCCGTTTTCTAAATTAGTTGGCCTGTCCATTCGATACATACGGAAGAAGTTGGAGCTTCAGGAAGCTCGGAATATCTTTGCCTGCAAAGAGGGAGCCCCCAAGGAAGCCTTCAAATGGATCCGTCATGCTCATTCAACCCGTCGACGGGATATGTTTTGACTGGGTGAAAAGGACTCGCATCCATGGATTCTCCACTCCATCCTGTCATATTAAAACCTAACCCACAGGAAGAATTCCACCCTTAGATTCACGGGGATCACCAAAACATCCAAAACTGCTACTGTTATGGTCCCATGACATAAAAGGACTCACACCCACGGAGTCTCCATGGGAATTGCCCTGAAACATCCGGCGAACAAGAACAAACAGGAACAACAGGAAACAAGTCAAACATCCGCCCCAAAATCCAAAAAAAAATGTCCGAAGAAAGAAACAAAAGGCAGAACAAGACCCAACAAACAAACCAAACAAGCAAATCGGGGGACAAAAAAAGTCGACGAAGCGGGGCGCTCCTATGGGCTTGCCGCTCATGAGCTCCAGCTCCGAATCTACGAAGCCGCAGGCGGGCAGCTGCCAAAGGCTTTGCACCAAGCGCGGCAGCAAGGCCTCGTTTTTGCGTCCGGAAGCGGCGACCCCAACATCAGCGCGGCCCAGTTGGCGGTTTAGGGGATTTCCTATCTACCCTTAAGAACGCCTGAGATGCACTCAAAGAAAGGCCACGGCTATGAGGTTCAATAGGAAAACCACGTCGCAAGTGGGTGGCGGACATGAATCCCCATCTAGGTCATGTCCACCACAGGGGGCCCTATTGAAACTCACACCCAAATAGTTCGGGAGGCATGACCAAAAAACCCAGGGGATGGCAAAGGACGACGAAGGTTGAGGATAGCCCTTTGGGGATGGTTTAAAGGGAAACCAAAGGCAATACCAACAGGCAATACCAAAACAACGCTGGGACTTGCCGCTTTCAGAGACAAACCCATGTGGGAGGCGGTCAGTGATCCGCAGCCCGACCGCGACGATGACATGTTGGGGGCGCTTGAGAAGGGTTCCCAAACACGAAACACCTTGTAAGCTAGGAAGTCTGTCTTGGTTCATGTTAAGAGGAACCAAACCTGGAATCCGCACTTCGGAGGGATGCAATTGGCTTTGATCTACATTGGTGTGTCTGTGCAAGGGAGAACCCTCAAAATGGTGATGTTTTTTCCCCGGCCCTGCCTCTCCCAGCTTCTGATCGGCGGTGGCCGGCTGCGGTGCGGTGTCCGTCAGAAAGCCAAGGACATCCTTCCTTCGGCTGGGCCCATCAAAGGGACCTATAAATGAGTGTGTCTTTTCTGAGGATACCCGTTTGGGGTTGTTTTAAAGAGAGTCAACGGAGAAATGTACCATTCTAGGGGGCCTTAAACACAATAGTAGTTTTGAGAACCGCTCAGCATGCTCACCTTAATGGACCCAGTTAGGTGACAAGGGAAGAGCGCTGAGGGAAAGATTTGCTTCAAATAGTTGACACCTCGAAAAGGTCCGCGTCCTTCTGGCTTCCTGTTGAACCAAGCCCCGAAAGAACATCCTCAAAACGAGAAACTCGGACAGGGGCAAAGCGAGCACGCCTGGCAAGGAAGAAGCAAGAAATCAGCAAGGTGCACGTCACGCAAAGCAGCCTGCATGAGATGTGCAAGTAAGACGCAGAGAGCAGACGGAAGCAAAGCTTGCTAGTGAGTGCAAAGGAGACGAAAATGTCAGGCGTGTCGAACAAGCACAAGCCATTGCAAAGCGGAGAAGCATGTCGATCAGGAAACGAAGCAATGTTCGAAATGAATGGGCGTGTGTCAACATAGGGCAGCCGAACATGGTCTGTGTCATGGTGTTTCTCGTTGAAAATCATTCGCAAGGGGTCCAACGTTTTGAGAAACCGCCCAATCCCTCTTGCCACATAAAACTACACTTCCCATGCATCCTTGTGTCAAAAGACCAAGAACTGCTATGTGTCAGAAAGAACGTGGTTGGATTGACACAAGGTGCTAGGTTTCAGGAAGGCTGGCTGAGAAGGGTTCACCAAACCTTCGATGTCGGCTCTTCCTATCATTGAGACGCAGAAGTCCCAAAGTGTCGGATTGTTCACCCGCCAATAGGGAACGTGAGCTGGGTTTAGTCAAAAGGATCGGTCCCAGGTGACTCGGCAATCGATTGCCATCCAAGGCGCAGAGTCAGCCAGGCCGGCAGGACCAAACAAATGATGCCACCCCCTGGCCGATCCCACCAACCCTCAAGGGACCTTCTGCTTCTACGTTAGTGGCAGGGTACAAAGTGAATCATGTTCAAACCACTTTTAAGCGTTCTCATTCCAGTCAACATACCCTATTTCAAGGTTTCCCAAGGCAAGGAAAATGTGGGTTCCGTTCCAAAGCTGGATGAAGCTTGCCGTTGTCCTTTGCAGCATCCAACCCCATTGCTTCCTTTCCAACCGAATCACCAAAAAAATCGTCACACCCTGCCTTGAACGGTCTCACAGGCAGCCCACAGAGTTCCCACAGATGCCTGGGACACATCGAAGAAGACCTCGGCCAAGCGATTAACTGCCAAGAAATGTCAAATGGTTCCATTTGGGTCTGTGTTTCTTGAATGTACCCTTTGAAGGGAAACCAAAACAAACAAACAAAAAAACGTTGTTGTGGGGGTCCCCCCCCATTTGACACAGATCCATTTGCTTCAGGTGTCAATCTAACAATATGTGTTTGTCGTGAATCCAACATGGAAAACTGAAAATGATCTTCTGCAAATGAAGAAGTGATGCTTTGCCTGAAAAGTCTTGACCCTTTGCTTCCAGAAGGAGAATCGTTCCCCCTGATTTACATTGATTCGCCCTTGTTTGGTCGCTTAAGGGGCAACTTCAAAGGCAAATCTCAACATGGATGTTTAGGCAACTCGGTTGCTCTTTGGTGCAACTATACCGCTCAAAGGCATTCCTACCTTATGACTCTAAAGTGGGGCTCATTCCCACAACCCTGCCCAACCAGTTTTGCCCACAAATTGCGTGATTATCTTATTATCACGACCCAATTAGGTAGCAAGTACCCCACAACCCTAGTCCAAATAAATGCGAGTGCGCCTTCGCGCAAGCGGGGATACCTGGGTGCCACGCGCAAGCGGCGTGAGTCCCTCCAAGGCAGGTGGTGCTCTGATCCTGGAAGGCCCATTCCACCGCATCCGCAGGAAGTATCCTGCAGCTCAGATAACCCCTGGAATCAGGCTGCCAAGCTCTGGTCCCTCTGGTTCAAACCATGTTGAACGACCCTGCTTCAATGCTGAGCCTTCTGAGGAAGCAGCCGAAAGCTCTGGCTTTCTCCAACAAACCCGTGTCCCACTTACAAGCATAGTTCACATCTAAGGGAAGCCCAGAAAAGGCCGCTTCCTGTGGGTTTCCCCAACCTCCAAAGAGGTTCCAACCCGAAGTATTCAGATTGCAACGACAAAATCCAATTTGACCCCCCGGTGCCCCTTTGTTTGCCCTTTGAAAGGGAAGGCAGGCGTTTGGAAAACCCGAAGATGGGGATTCTGGCAATGCGGGCCCAGGATTATCAAACCTGGGGATGAATAGAAGGGGGTGCAACTGTCCCAACCAAGGGTTGTTGATTAGTCCTGAGTTGCTACAAGCTGGCGATGTGATTGGATTGACGTTTCCTCCCCAGAAAGATCTAATCTTCAGTGACACCAGCTCCAGCCAAATGAGGGAAAACCAAAACCAGGGGTAGAAACACAAGGTGACAAAAACGACAAAAGGCCGCTTCTATTCCTGGCTGGGAATGCCCCGTACACATATACTCATTGTGAGCTGCTTCTCGAAGCTATGATCGTTATTCATGTAGAAATGTAATGTCGATGAAATTGCTGGTTGATTTTTTCTACATATATATATATATATACACAAATACAGTATGTGGAAAAGATATTTCTCGACATATTTTGTTTGAGGTTCTGGCTTGCACGGAAGACATTTCCCACATCTCGGAGCCCGCGTAATTTCAAGGTATTTCCGGGGCCCCCGTTCGTTCCACAGTACGTTGGCCCGGGCCCCGGGCTACATGCCCAGACATGTAGACCGGTTTCAGCACATTTAGGTTGGACCCCCAGATTTCAGAAGGGGTGTAGGATTCATGATTGGTTGGGCACATCCTAAGGAAAAAGGCAAATAGTGATTTTCTAGGAACTGGGAAAGTGCCAATGTGGGTTATTCAACACGTCGGGATCCCGAATCCTAATCGTGGAACACCGCCACTACAACGAGGGAACCACTACCATCTGGCATTCAAAATTTAGAATTGATTTTCAACAACCCCGCATTGGAAACGCCCCACCACCATCCCCCAATCAGTTTTGCTTTAGATATGCTTGCCTGGTTTTAGCAAGAATATAGTGAATAC